TTCCATTCATCGATGCATCCCTGCAGATGTTGGTGATGTCATCACCACTGTAGCCATCCGTACGCTTTGCCAGCTCATCAACGTCCACATCCGAAGCCAACTGGAATATCACCAAAGGTGGCAAGGGAGGCTGTCTTAACAGAAGAAAGCAAAAAAAGAAAGAAGTTTGCAGTGACAATGGCACAAGACAAATGAAAGGGACTAGGGGAGACAAGGACAGCCAATCACAACAGGAAAAATACAGCACATTACAGAAATTTGAGCACGAGCGGGGCCACACCTCAAGGGAGCGCAGATTGATGTTCATGAGGGCAGCTCGACTGTCATGTGGTGGCAGAGGGATGTATATTCGCTTCTCCAGTCGACGTCTGCATGAGCAATGCAAAGGTTGCAATGAGTAAAAAAACGATCAGAGCATCCCTTGTGGCATTCTTTTCCTGCCTGATGATATAGCCAGATACTCTGTATTTCTCTCAACTTTACCAGACCCCACACCCAACCCATCCACTCCCCCAGCTTCTTCCCACCTCCTTCCCCATCCGTTTTCCCTCTCATGCGACCCCTCATTCCTCTACTGTGCCCCATAGCTCACCGCAGCGCCTCATCGAGGTCCCACGGGAAGTTGGTGGCGGCGAGCACCATGACAATCTTGCGCTCGCCATCCGGTGATGCGGCATTGTTCATGCCGTCAATCTGCACCAGCAGCTCTGACTTCACCCGCCGAGATGATTCATGCTCGCCCGCCGCACTGCAGAGGGGTTTCATGAGACGGGGGTGGTGGGAAAAGGGAGTGCCAGGAGGGAACGGATGTCAGGGAGGAGTGGGGAAAAGTGGGGGCGAAGTCAACAGAAAGCTTGTAGCTTGCAGGAAGGTTCAAGTGCAGAGGATGACACAGAACACAGTCACCAAAGACGTGCATACTACGTTGATCGGGTGGAGTACGCTTACCCTCGTGACGTGCAGAGGGAATCGATCTCATCAATAAACACCGTGGAGGGGGCGTAAGCACGAGCCATCTCAAAGAGGCAGCGCACCATGCGCTCGCTCTCGCCCCTCCACTTGGACGCGAGCGTGGCGGAGGAGACGTTAAAGAACGTGGTGCCACACTCTGTCGCCACCGCCTTGGCCAGCAGCGTCTTGCCCGTGCCTGGCGGGCCAAACATCAGCACTCCCTTCCACGGCCTCCGAATACCCTGCCGTGGGAACACGCAGCACGAAACGGCCTTGTGAGCACGATTACACTGCTTGCACCATTCTCAGATTCTGAGAGATTGTCCGGGAAGGGCGGCAGCAGGAATCAGCAGAGCACAGCGAGGGCTCCCCCCCTACACTACATTCTAACGCACGCACCTGGAAGTAGTCGGGCATGAGCAGCGGCAGCACAACAGCCTCCTCCAGCAGTCGCTTGGCGTCAGCCAGGCCGGCAATGTCCCCCCAGCGCACGCCAGGCGACGACTCCAGCACGTCTCTCTCCAGCATGGCCACCAGCTCGGGGTCCGACCCCTCAAACCGTGGCTTGCGCGGTACCACCTCCTTGCCCTCCTCCTCCTGCCATTCACAGTCACCAGTGGGATTGATCAGCGTACGATGCAGCAATGAATGTGCACATTATACGAGCTGGATGCAGAAGGGGAGGGACAAACCACAGAGAGAGATAAATGATAAGAGGAAGTGAAAGTACTGCTACACGCGCCAGGGATTCGATGTATGTAGAACACATGAACAACGATCCGGCAACAGAAAGGCCAGAAAGCAGCACTGTGACGGCGTTGAAAAGAGGAGGTCGTACCGACGGTGGGTCACTCGGCGGGCCTTTGGGTTCCCTGGGCTTGCCAACAGCGCTGTTGATTACAGCTCCCACGGACACTCGCCTGTTCCGCGCGTCGGCCCCTCGCTCCGCCCTCTCCGCCCCTGCTCGCTTCGATGCTTGCGAATCCGAACCTATGCTATTACGCGACCCTGCGCCCCCTATGCGTGATCGCACACCAGCTACCCCGCCAGGCGTCCCTTTACTCGCACCGCCACCTCCCTGCATACCAGGCGATCGGCCAAACGACCCGGGAGAGGTTCCTCGGCTGCTCTGCCTGCTGCCGCTGTCGAAACCGCCGCCTGCTCTCCCGCCTACGCGACCGACAGCAGACGCACGGCGATTATTGGTGGGGGAAGTGAGATCCCTGGACGGTGCTGGCCTCCACACATCTGGATCCTGAGAGCCAAACGGCGCGTCGAAAGAGTCGTCGTGGTGCCTGCCGGAAGAAACGGGAGAGTGGCCGTTGGTGTAGCGAGGGTTGCACGAGAACGCTGCAGACCCCGCTGGCTCCTTGAAGACCTGACGGTCGTATTCGAGGCTCTTGGTGAGGTCGAGCTCGTCCTGTACCTGCTTCTTGCAGCTCATCCAGTTGGACCGTGTGTACGGATCGTCCACGGTCTGAAGGTGCCTGTATTTGTGATATAAAAACAAATCAGAGGCAAAAATCGAGGAACATAGCACCATTTGAGGTAATCATGTGCCTGGTAGTCAGTGGGTGTGGTGACAACGGACTAGTGAAGAAACCTGGAAGAGAGGCTGGTAGCTGAATTACTGAGACTTATATTTACGTAACTTTCAGGGGATAGGACACGTGTAGACTTATCTTCCTGCGTGAAAAATACTTCCGGCTTTCAAGCTACTAGTCTGCACATCCTTACTTGTTTATTTGAGAAATCACCCCATCGTAATATATCAGCGCGCTGTCGTAGTTCCCAAGCGTGGCGTGCTCCCTTGCAACCGTCAGTTGATCAACAACCCCTTTTAACGCCATCGAGTACACCGTCGCTAAGAACAGCGAAATGGAGCATGAGACGACGAGCCTACCCTGCCATAACAGACGTGCCTGTCAAAGGATCTACTAGGAATAAGAACCTACCGGAAAAGACGATGTCCTAAGCCTAACAAACGAACTAAGAGAAAGAAAGTAGAAATGTGGTTGCGACCTCGAAGTTATCGTGGGATGGCTCACAACAGACACTCCCTAGAACCAACCGGACCAGAGCATGTGGGATGATGATGAACAAGGAACTTGAAAGCCAGGGTTGGCTGATGCAGGGAATGAAAATCGAACCCCACTGACAAAGTGCCGTGTCGCCTTGGCCCTGACACAAGGAACGACAAGACAAGATCCTCCTTGCTGTGTGATTCGCTATAGCACAAGGTACACTTGTGGGAGAAGGAAATAATTCGATGAGTACTTTTCGAGGAAGTCCCGTTGGGTTCAAGAGAATTTCGTGAAGGTTTGGGGATAACGGCACTTGATGCGTGAGCGACACGGATTTTGCGACTCCCAGTGTCGCGAAAGGGGGGTGATTTGCGATGTGCGACTCCCATGTGCCACATGTTGGCGGTGATGGGTGAATGGACCATTTTGATTGGTGCGTCAATAAAAACTTTCGTCACAAGCAACTAGGACGTTCGGCGACATGCATGCAGCAAGTGCCGGTATAAAGCCCGAGCGGCTCCCTCTTCAGTCCCCTTCCCCTTCCATTTTATCTTTCACACCTCCTCCAACCCCAGTTTCTCCACTAGAATTCCGGAATTCCTGCAGGGGCTCCTTCTCTGCACTGAGAGCACTGCAAACCCTATTTCTTCAGACATTCAAGCTTATCCCAGCGCCTCCTGCCACCACCATGGTTTGTCCTTTATCGCTGCAGAAAGCTCGGCGGTGTCATTTGCTCGTTCCGTTTCGTAGATTTTCACAGGATTCTGATGTCTTTTGTCATCTGATCCTAATCGGATATTATGAAGCTTTTCTTCCATTTCCTCGGTTGTGTTTAGTGCCTTATGAATATTAGTTATATTGGCGTGTCCTTGGAACACAGGGGCACACAGTTAGTAGCCGCAGAGTCTGCAGTAGCCACGATGTAGGGCCGCCTAAGCAGCCTGCTTCAGTGCTGCAGCAAACATGTGCAGAACTAAAAGGCGGCGAAATTAGTTTGCCTTGATCGAAGTCCGGTGTTAATGCGCTGCCGGGCCGCTGCGTCTTTCTCCCACATGAATGCGCCATGCTTACCTACCTGTGTGCGTGCAGGTGCTATCTAACGACATCGATCTGCTTCACCCTCCAGTGGAACTGGAGCAGCGCAAGCACAAAATGAAGCGACTGGTGCCCACGCCCAACAGCTTCTTCATGGTCAGTCGAATACCCGAGTAACGTGTGCAGAGAGATTGTGCAGTCTCTGGAACTCCTGGGAAGGATTTCATTGGGCCCTACGACCCCCTACGACCTATTTGGCACCACTGTGTTGTCGATTTTCTTGTGCACCCGCTCATCAGGGCCTGCAAACCTCCTAATGTTTCTATTCCTCTTCCCTCCCCGTGTGCACGTGAATCTCAGGACGTCAAGTGTCAAGGCTGTTTCAACATGTAAGTTTCGGTCCCTGCATTTCTTGTTATCCTAACCTACCCCCGCATTTCCACCATGTGAGTTTCTGCATGTGCGTGTCATGTCATCTTACCCCTGTGTTGTCTCCATTTTGGCCCATATGTTCCATCTTGCAGCACGACTGTGTTCAGCCACTCGCAGACGGTGGTGCTGTGTGGCAGCTGCTCCACCGTGCTGTGTCAGCCCACCGGTGGCAAGGCCCGCCTCACAGAAGGCTGCTCCTTCCGCAGAAAGGGCGATTGAATTGCTGCTTCTCAAGTCTCCCTGTTCATACACACTGCGGGTTGTTTGGAGGGCTAATGTGTAAATGTGATGGCTTAGTTTACGGAAAGTTGCAGCTATAGCTTCGTCACTGTTGTACACCTTGTGGCAGTAGTAGAATGGCTTGTCTTGGGCTCTTGGCTGAGCCAACTAGTTCAAGCCTGACATCTTTGCATATGCCTCCAAAGTAAACTCAATGTATGCAATCTTTCACATTACTGTACTGCAAATATCGTACTGTAAAACAACGGCATATACCAAATACTTCTATTTGCTACTAGTAACAGAACTAGCACGCTCAACACTACCCATTCCCACCCTTTATCTCCTACTCCACGATGGCATCCGACGACTGGAAATGCTCATAGCATGGCTGGCAATGATGTTCCCTGCACTGCCATCCCCATAGCTGAGAGCCCTTGGGCTTGACGCCGTCACGCGCGATGCTGCAGCGGAGGGGCTTGTCCCTCTAGCAGTGGGGCTGTGCCCATAATAAGAGGGAGCAGTGGGACTCTGACCATAAACCGAAACGGCTCTAGGGCTTTGCCCATAGTACCCTGTTGCTCTGGGACTCTGCCCATACAACCCTCCTGCCCCCGCTGCTCCGATGCCTCCTCCATACATTCCCCCAACTGCCATCCCGCCACCCAGACTTCCCCCGGCTGCATAACCACCCCCCGGGGCACCAGCACCGGTGGCGCTCCCTGTGCTGCCTGCTCCTGCAACGCCTGCAAGGAAAGCCGCTGCTCGAGGGCTCTGGCCAAATCGCGGAGGGCTCTGCCCATACGCCCCTGCTGCTGCTGCCGCTGCTGCTGCTGATGCTGGGCTGCCCGACTGCAGCCCGTACGGCGGAGGGCTTTGGCCGTACCCCCCTGCTGCTGCCGCTGCTGCCATGGCTGCCGCTCCTGCTGCAGACCCGTGTGAGTGCGCGTGGTGGTGGTGGTGGTTGTATGGGGACGTGCTGGGGTGGTGCCCTGCTGCTGTGTGGAAGGGCGAGGAGGACGAGCCGTGGGAGGGAGCCGTGGGGCTGTGGCCCGCAGCCGCAGCAGCAGCAGCAGCACTGTGTGTGGGAGTGACCATGCCCATGCCCATGTTCATGTTGTTCCCAGCATGGTGGGGGCTGTTGCCGCGCAGGGCAGCGCTGGTGATCATGCTGCCGATGTCAGCGGCCTTGGGGCTGGCAGCTGTGGGGGAGAAGCCACTGCGCGGACTCGCACTGCGGTACGAAGCAGACCCGGATGGAGCAACAAGACCACCACCATACGCACTGCCAGCACTAGTGGCTGCAGCGCCGGTGAGGGGCGAAGTGGGGTCGATGTGGCGCGGGGAGGAGAGGGCGAAGCGTGGGCTGGTGCGCGCTGCTGAGTCGGTGAATGCTCGTGCAGCGGACCACGAGGGGCTTGTGTCCCTCACCGCTCGTGGCGTGACTGACGGCCGCCTTGCCACCCAGTCCTCCCTCTGCATGGGGCGAAAGGGCGGGGATAGGAGAGGGGACGGGAGAGGAAAAAAGGGGAGGTGAGTCGTGACTTCACTGCAAGCGATATACTGCCGCTGTAGAAAACTCTCACTCATCACATGGCATGGGCATCCCATCATCCATCATCAATGCACGCAGACTCACAAGGCATGGGTCCTCGCTCTCGAGCATGTGCACGACTTGCTTCATCTTGGGGCGCTTGAGCGCGTTGGGCTCCAGGCAGCGCAGCGCCACGCCCACCACGTACGTGGCGTCCTCTATGGCCACCGGCACTGCTGCCGTGCCGCCCATGTCCGGCGCACACAGGCGCGGGTCCACCATGTCCAAGAAGCGCCCCTCGCCCGCCATCTGCTTCGCCCACTTCACAAGGTTCGACTGGGGTGGGGCGAGGGAGGGAGAGCGAGGGGGAGAGGATGAAAGATGGATGGGAGAAAACATTGAGATGGGTAAAAATGAGCAGTGGGGTTTAGGGGATGGGGTGGAGAGAAAGGACTGGCAGTCAGGGGGAGCAGGGAAGGAGGTGGGAGGGGTGGGGGGGGGGGAGGAAATGGCTTCCAGTGCTGATGATGAGGGGGGGCATGGGGAAGGAATGGGGAGAGAATGGGGGAGGGACTGGCAGGTTGAGGTTTCTTTACCTCGTGCGAGGGGCGCTGGCTGTCGATGGGGCGTCGGCCGGTGATGATCTCGAGCAGCAGCACTCCGAAGCTGTACACGTCACTGCGCTCCGTCAGCACTCCCGTGTTCATGTACTCGGGCGCCATGTACCTGCACAGCACAGCACACCCATGGGGGCAGAGGAGGTAGAGGGGGGGGAGGGGAGGGGAGGGGAGGAAGGTGAGACACGTAGTATTCTTTATCAGCACGCCCCTGTTCATGTACTCAGGTGCCATGTACCGGCACACATGGTGGCGAGAGAGGAGAGGAGGGGCGCGGGTCGGGGTGAGGTGGGAAGGTTCAGCAAAACTGACACCAGGGATCACAGGAGGGGGGTAGTGCAGGGCGAGGGGCACGAGGGGCACGAGGAGCAGCAACGGAGCAGCAATGGAGCAGCAGCAGCGCACTGACCCGAAGGAGCGCAGGGCGTGGCGCGCGGAGGCGTGCTTGGGGTCGCTGCCGACGATGCGCGCAAAGGCAAAGTCGCAGAGGCGTGCGTCGCAGCGGTGGTCCAGCAGCACGTTGGCCGCGCGCACGTCACTGTGCACCACCCGCACGTCGTGCAGGTATGCCAGGCTGGGAGGGAAGGACAAGGGGAAGGGGTAGGGGGAGATGGGGGAATGAGTGGTGCGAACAGGAGGTCTGTTGCTGCGCACGTCACTGTGCACCACCCGCCTGTCGTGCAGGTATGCCAGCCTGGGATGGGGGAAGGGGCATTGGGGAGGAGAGCGGGAAAGAGGGCAGCAATGGGGGAGTGGCATGGGACAGAGGGGGAGAAGGGGGATGAATGGCGCAAAACGGGAGGAATAATTTGTCCAGGAGGGGACGACAGCCAATAGGGAGGGTTGGCAATCCGGGAGGCGAGAGGCTGCAACTTGAAAGTGAGTGAGGCTACTCTCCCACCACCCACGTGGCCCTACACACCACCCTCCTCTCCCACCCAACCTCTTGACCCTCCTCCCCTCCCTTCCGCACCCCCCCAAACACAAACCCTCCCCTCCCCCCTCCCCAACCCTCTCCGCTTCTTTCACTAAAGCTTATCAGCACTCACCCTTTCGCGCATCCCACGGCCACGTGCATCCTCATCGGCCAATCAATGGCCTCCATCTGCGCCCCGGCATTGGCTGCCAGCGTAGCGTCGTCAGGATGCAGCCACGTGTCCAGATCGCCATTCGCAGCGTACTCCGTCACGAGCATGCGCTCCGCGCCCCCCGCGGAGCCGCAGTCCGCGGGTTCCGCGCAGCACCCGCCGATGAGCGCAATGAGGTTGGGGTGGCGCAGCGTCGCCAGAGTCTCCACCTCGAAGCGGAACTCGCGGGGGGTCTGATCGGGACTGGTGGGGGAAGCAGGGAGGGGGAGGAGCCGGGGAAGCGGGGTGGGGACGGGTTGAGGGCATGCTCATGTGCGAGGAAGGCAAGAGCAAGAATCAAGCGCACGGTGTGGCCTACTCACTTGTACTGCGTCAGTCGTTTCACGGCAGCCGTGCTGCCGTCCGCCAGTCGCGCGCGGTACACCGTACCGTACCGCCCCGTGCCCACCACGTTGCGCTGCGCGTTGCGCCCGAACTCGTTCGTGGCCATGGCCAGCTCGCTCACGGAGAACCACCGCAACTCGCCCCCAACGCTCACTCCGCTCCCCGCTACACTGCCGTCGTCGGATTGCGTCGCGATGCCATCCGAGCCGTTGATTCTCGCCTTCGGCGGCAGCGGCAGGTCTGCGGCATGAGCACCTGCGGCAGTGGAGGAAGCGGCGGAACCACTTGCGCCCATCTCCCCCCTATCGCCCGCCCGCCTGTCCTCCGCATCCTCCACGTCCGCTGCTCTCAGCGCCCGCCCCGCCGCACCGTACGCGGGGCGGAGGCCCGCCAACGCCGCCGTTGGCGCCGACGAAGGTGGAAGGCCAGGCGGAGGCGGCAGCGGGTCTGCAGCCGCGGCGGCGGCTGAAGGGGGGAGCCGGAGCGCGTCGTCGAGCGGGAGATGCGGCGTCGAATGCTGCTGCTGCGGTGACGTGGCGGCTGCCCTCGCCGCTGCAGCGGCGGCGGCGCCAGCTATGCCCGCTCCTGTTATGCCTGTCGCGGACGACACTCGGGGCATAGCGGCGGTAGCGGCGGAGGAGCGCGACGCGGCGGGGAGCGAGCGGAGGGAGGGGAGGGGAACAACCGGCGGGATGATCACGGGAGGATGCTGCATTGGCGACAGCACAGGTGGCACGCCCTGATTGGTCCGTGGAGCTATCACAGGGCTAGCTGGCTCCTGCACCCCCCCTCCTGCTTGCCCTGCTGCCGTCATCGCAGAAGCGCCAAGTGCGGTGGCGCCGGCGGCGGCGGGAGCCGCGCCGGTCCTGGCAGCAGCAGCCCACGAGGGCAGGCTCCTCACCCGCTCGGCGCCGCTACTCTCCGCGCACTGCTGCGCGCTCTTCTCCGCCGCACTCTCCGCCTCGTCGCCCTCCCCCCCCTCCACCTCCTCCCCACTCTCCTCGCTACTCGACACCTCTTCCGTCTCCTCCCTCTGCTCTGCCCCTTCCTCCCCTTGCGCGTCGTGCGGCGGCGCGCTCGCGTTATTGCCGGCTCCCTGCTGCTCCTTGTGCGATTGCCTCCATCGTCCCAGCAGCTTCGACACAGCAGCGGCAGCGGCGCTGCTAACCGTTGTGCCCGAGCTCTTGCTCCTGCCCTGGCTGCTGCTGCTCTCCGCTGCGCCGCTCGTCGCCAACACGCCCGCAGCGCCCGCACCTGCACCCGTGCCCGCCTTGCCAATGCTGCTCTCCGCCGCGCCACCCTTACCGTCGCCGTCTTTCGCGTCGGCCGCACTACCGCGCCCGCCTTGGGAGGATGTTCCGCTCCTTCCGCTGCCGCTGCTGCACTCACTGCCCTCCTCCTCTTCCTCGCACTCTGCGCTCGCCACGCCCACGGCCGCCGCCGCGGCGGAGGGGGCGGCGGCGCCCGCGGAGAGCTCCGCCGACGAAGATGACGACGGCGACTCCGCAGAGTGGGTTTCACCAGCCGCAGCGCCATCAGCGCGCACAGATGCAGCAGGAGCGGCGGCGGTAATAGCAGCAGTTGTTGCAGCGGCAAGGCTGACCGGGGCAGCGCGCAACTCATCGCGCGCTTCCCCACCGCCCTCACCTTCCCCGTCCCGCTCTCCCTCCTCGCTCGCTCGCATACTTCCGCCCTCCGCCAGCCCCTCTTGCGCTTTTCCCCGTTTCTTCCCCCATCTCCCGAACCTGCCCCCAGAGCTTGCCGCCGATGCTGTCGCAGCGACAGCAGCCGCGTAGCTACCCACCGGCTCCCCGCTTTCCGCGCCATCCGCGCTGCTTGCGCTCGACGTTCCCCTGAGTGCCGTGGAGGGCGGGGGAGGTAACGGCGGCAACGTGGCGGAGGGAAGTCGTGACGACGGCAACGGTCCGACATCAGATGTCCACGGGGCGTCATCAGGAGCCGTCTTATGGGCTGCAATGGAGATTACGGCCACCGGAGGCGCATTGAGCGGCTGGTCCTCCCCGTGCTTCGCGGCGTCGATGGCGCCGCCAGATGCGGCTGCTGCCTTACTAGACTGGGCAGGCCCGTCTACTATATTAAGGCGCACCTCGGCGGCGTCCTTGGGCGCGTGCGTGTACACGGCGCCGGAATGCTTGCGCGCGGCCTTGCGCCGTCCGCACCAGCCCATGCGCCACAGGAGCAGCCCGATGGCTACCGCCAGCAGCACCGCGAGCCCCACAAGCACGCCCGCTACTATCACCACCACCGGGCTCGACCCGCCCGACGATGACGTCGTATTGCTCGAGGAGTTATCAGCGGGAGTTGCGGCGGGAGTCGCCGCGGTAGTCGCGGGATCGCCTTTGCCGGCGGCAGGAGCGGAGTTGGAGCCAGTCCCGGGAGTGTCGGCGGTTGGAGGTGAGGCTGATTGCGACGAGCCGGGATCAGCGGCGGGAGGGGCGGGGGACGACGGTGCGGCACAGTCGGGCGGCAGGCCCAGCTGCGGGGGACCGCAGAGAACGAAGCCGGGGCTCTGGGTGAAGTTGAAAGACGCGCCGGTGGCGGAGAGGAAGGCGAGCGACGGGGAGACCTTGCCCGTGAGCTTGTTGCCGTCCACGTGCAGATCGCGCAGCGTCGTGAGCGCGGATAGCGACTCGGGGAGCGAGCCTTTGAAGCGGTTCGAGTTCAGCTCCAGGTATTTGAGCTGCGTTGGGGGGTGGCGGAAAGGGGAAGCGCGGGGATAAGAGCGGCGCACCGAAGATGGAGAACCGGTGAGGCAGGAATGCAGACCACCGTCAGTTGCAGCGAATGCAGACCACCGTCAGTTGCAGCTCAGGCCGTGCTTAACAGAAATTAACACTGCGGCTGTTGCGGTGCAGGAGAGGGGGGAAGGGGGGCGGGGAGTGGCGATAGAGGCGGGAGAGGAGGGAGAGGCGAGGGGAAGAACCATGAACGCACCTGCGACAGGTCGGAGAGCCAGTCGGGAATGGAGCCCTGCAGCTGGTTGTGCGACACGTCCAGCATCGTCAGCTGCGACAGCGACGACAGCTCGGGCAGCGGCCCGGCGAGCTGGTTAGACGAAAGGAGAAGCGCCTGCAGATTCGCGAGGCTGTTGAGCGACGAGGGCAGCGATCCCGTGAGCGCGTTGCCCTGCAGGTTGACGGTCGTGACGCCGTACAGCTGCACCAGCTGCTCCGGCACCTGCCCGCCCAGGTTGCGATTCGCTAAGTCCACCGCCACCACGTTGTTGCTCGCGTCGCACCGCACGCCCTGCGCGGATGCGCGAGGAGCGGGGGGTTCGTGAGGGGGGAAGGGTTAGGGAGAGAGGGGATCGGGGAGAAGGGGAGATGGTGAGCTGGGAGATTTACACGCGTTGTATGGAATTGCAGGGGAAATGCGATGATTCGGCGAATAGTATTTAAAATCTGGTTGTGTTAGTGAAGGGAAAGTAACACAAGGGAATGAAATTATTGAAGGGATCGCAAGGGCAGTGAAGGAAAGGATTGGGGAGCGAACCAGGAACGGAGCGGGTGAGCAGGGATCCTGCTGATTGGTCCACGTGGTTAGCACAGATCCCGCTGGATCCAGTACGTTCTTCAAGGATTCCCAGTCGGCGGCCGATGCGGGGCTGGCGCACAGCCACAGCACGATGGCTGCCAGCACGACCGCGTGCCGCGCTGCCGGCTCACGGTGTGCCATGGCCTTTCGCGCACCTCGAAGCGTGATGCGATCTGCTATTAGGAGCCGAACGAGGAGCATTGTCTTAAAGGGAAGGTTGAGAGATGAGCTACACGGGTGATTCTAGTGTGAGGTTAATGCGGTTGATTCTAGCAGATGTGGTAAATCTGTGATCCGATCGTGTATGCGCTGACACATAGCGGAATGCAGGAGGCTTTCAATGTTACTCGTCACGGACTAATGGCGTCGGCCTTGCATGTACCAGCGTAGAAGCGTCGTAACGTTTCTTGGAGAAAAGCAGCTTCTTTATCAAGGTCAAAGACGAATTCAAGTTTCTGCCTTCACTTTCCGTACCTCGAAATGAGCAGAGTTCACCAATGCTGTTCGCGGGAGGAGTGAAGTGGCTAAGTTGAGTGGGAAGGAATAGAGTTTTCTATCCTTGCGATGCGAGGCGCAGTCAAAGTTGCCCTCGTGGTCCGTATAGACAAGGCAAGCAACACGAACACTACGGAATGCAAAGAGGAGACGGAGACCAGGACACACACGCGACTGTAAACCCAATGTCACGTCTCGGGGAGGCTCACGCGCAAGGCGAGTCACAGTAGCGACATTTGCGCCACGGTCGGTTCGGGCGTGACCTGACGTGCGGCCTGGCGCGCGGCTCGCCCAGCTTGTATTGGTCGTGCTCCCGCAAGAGACGATAACGAGGCTGCCTGACCCCCGCGTCGCGTAGTTCGCTTTGGTTGACGGCGGAACGCATGGTGTCTTTGGTTGGGCGCTTTCGCCTCCAATCAATGTCTAGAACGAGGTATGGGCTTCGACGAGCCACAGCGAGACAGATCGAACCTTCACGACGCTGCCTTGGTTGTGACATCCAAGACCACACCCATTGGTGGAGCTCGTGAGAAGCACACAGGCTCGGTAAAAGTCAAGGGTGTGCTGGGCTTCAAAAGGGTGTGACATGATGGGGCAGAATGCTGATAAAGTGTAATTACAGTACAGTAAATAGCGAACCATAATTGTGCAAAGTTGGGAGAAGTGTGATAAATGCTGACATCAAAACGGGGAAGCTAAATAGATCTAAATTGAACAAGAAACTTCAGGTATTATTATTACAAAGCTCAGGGTCACCAACAACCTTTCAACCGGACGGCTAAGCGTCGTGCCTCAGCAATTACTTGACTGAGGTTCAGATTATTTTGCTTGGTGAGACCATGGCAGAGCAGCAGAACCTCGTCCAGCCCTTCACATTCCAGAAGAGCTTCCCTTTGCGAACATATAAGCACCACCATCACAAATAAAAGCAGGCTTCCCGTTGGTGGTCCCAACTCCTCTTCCCCTCCATCATCAGAATCGCCATTCTGCTGCTCCTCCTGTACTTGCACCTCGTCCGAAAGACATTGGGAGACCACAGGCGCACTGCACCGTGGCCCATTTCCATCCCCACAAGAATCACTTGTAGCACATGCCTTTCCCCCATGGATTACGAGAGCTGTGCCCACCCTTTGCTGCCCGCTGCCATACCCACTCCCCCCATCCATGCAACCTGCTGCACTGATATTCTCCTTATGATCATTACACCTAGGCAACTCATTAATCCACAGCTTCTCATCACTCACCCCTGCCGGGCCCACTAGCTGCTTCCTCTCCTCCTGATGTTTACCCGCCAGCTCCTCCCCCTCCTCCTCGTGACCCCCCTGCGGCATGGCAGCAGCCAGGGCGTCAGCCCAGCACACTTCCCACAGCATGAGCGTCTGCGGCAGGGGCAGGTCCCGCCGCATGCCCACCACCACCATGCGGTACGCAAACAGACAGTCCCCGCCGCCCATGTCCCTCACTTGCCCGTGCAGCTCGGGGTCGGCGAGGCGGAGAATGCGGCCCAGTGCTGCGAGCTGGCGGTGAATGCCTGACTCGTCCAGCAGGAAGTTGAGACGCATGCCGTGCAAGTCAGGGGGGGACGGCCGAGAGGGGGAGGAGGAGAGTGTAGGAGGGAGAGGGCGCACAGGGGTGTTTGTGGAGCGGTGGAGAGACGTGGCTCGGGGGGCCGGGGTGAGTGGAGACGGCATGACGGAGGGGCGTGGTGAATGGTGCAGCGCCTCTCCCTGCAAGCTCACCCCCCGTCTGCTGCTGTCAGCCTTGCTGTTGCTGTCATAGATGCTTCTGCTAATGCGGCTGCTGTTCCCTGTGCTGCACGCACCTGAACCACTGACTCCACCCCCGACCGCGCTTCTATCCCTCCTGTCCGCCGTGTACCCAGTTGTTGCCATCCCGCCACCGGGAGACCAGTGCACATCGCTATGCTGCTGCTGGTGCATACGCCGATGGGGATACAGCTGCTGCTGCAGCTGTTGTTGTTGCTGGTGCTGGTGTATGCGCTGGTGTGGATACAGCTGCTGCTGTTGCTGCTGCTGATGCGACCGCTGGTGGCAGTGGGGCACGGGCACAATGGCACCCCCTAACCTGCGCACCCCGCCTTGCGCCCTGGGGCTCCACCTCTGCACAGGGTGCGCATAGCCGGGGGAGGACGCCGAGGCGGGGAAGAGAGAGGTGGACGCAGGAGAACAAGGCGACTGCAAACTCTGGGTGGAGCGGGAGGAGGAGGGGCGTAAGGAGAAGCGGGAAACGGAGAAGGGTGAGGAGATGGAGGGAGAAGGAGTGGAGGAGGCGGGGGGCAGCTGGTGCTGGTGGCGGTCTGATGTGCCTGCATGGTTGGTGCTGCAGCTGCCCTCGGTGCTCCACCAGCGGCCATGCATGAACGCGAAGAAGGCTGCAAACGCATCCGCGTTGTCAGCCATAGTGGCAACGAAGGGCGCTGCGACATCACACATGCCCTGGCAGTACCCCACCTCGGGATCCACGAGGGTGTATGCTTCCAGCAGCGCCACCACCCGTGCAACGTGCATCTGCTGCGCTGCTGTGTGGCTCACCAGCCCCTCCTCCTCCCCTAACTGCACCTCGTCTAGTGCCGCCTCTAACGCCTCCCCCTCCACCACACTGCACCACTCTGCACTGCTCGACTTTTCACTGCTTCGGCTGATGTCGCTACCGCCACTGCTGCTGCTGCCACTGCTGCTGTCACTGCTCATCCTGATGATACCACTACCACTACCACCACTGCTACGACTTCTCTCAAAAGTTCCAGCGTCATTGCCTGCTGCTGAGTTCAGCCCTCCCGCTGCCCCTCTCGCCCTGCCATCTCCCCGTCCATCCCGCGGCCATGCCACTCCAACCTCTCCACCACTCCCCCCCCCCTCGTCCCCATCGCCAGTGCCCCAGAAGGGGTCCCACTGCGCGCTGAGGCGCATGGCATCGAGGCGGATAGCTCGCTGCCATGCACCAAAGTCTGAGAGCAGAGCCACGGGATCGTGCAGCACCAGAGGCGCTGCCGCCGGGGATGGGGCTAGCATGGGGGAGGGGGAGGGGAGGGGTGAGGTGATTCTGGTGGTAGTGGTGGCCCTTGTGGTCGCAGCGGGCGCAGGAGGCGGGGTGCTTGGGCTGCCAGTCAAGTTGTGACCTCCATTGCTGCTATCACCACAGCTAGCAGCGCTGCTAGAAGCACAGTTCCCATTCTCATCGCCGCCTGAAGGGTCGCTGCTTGTGCTGCTGCGTTGGTTGCCAGGGCTGGTGACACCTGGCATGTGAGGGTGCGATTGTGAGGCAGGGCTATGTGCATGTGAAGCGTGTGACGGAGCATGTGTGGAGGCATGTGAGGCAGGTTGGGCGGCATTGAGAGCGGGGCGGGCGGCAGAGATGGTGGTCCAGACATGTGAGACGACAGCGGTGACAGCAGCGCGGTCGGAGGGCGGGTGGCGGTGCAGGTTGGCGAGAATGCGCGCGCACATGCGCAGCTTGTGGTAGCACGCCCCGTGCGCCCTGCGCTGCTGCGCTCGCTCCTCCTCCGTGCTGCTCAATGCATGGCTGCGTAGGGCGCAGGGAGACACGCACGCGCCATATAGGGAACAAACGCCCATGACAGCAGCACAAGGACTTGGTGAGTGTAAAAGACAGAACAAGACGGATGCTGGCTTACAATGAATCAGTCTCGCGGAAAATGATGGCGGATGCTTCACACCACACACACATAGTCATACAGTCTGTCATGCATGCACGCATCATGCCATCAATCGGCCTTACATGCCCAGCAGCAGCGGCCACACGTCGTTGCGTATGTATGGTGGGCACCCCTGCGGCAGCAACGGGGCAAGCGAGGGGAGACACGGCGAGAAGAGTAAGGCACGAGCGAGCGAGAATCACCGAGACATGGCAGGGCTGGAACTTAACGAGAACAAGTCAGCACAGCGAACGATAGACGCAACGAGCTTCAGTGGACCAATTCAATACCACGGTATTATTGATCTGCAAGCACACCACCACATTTACTCACCCTTTGCCGCACTCTCCGCAGCAACGCGCGACCCCCATCCTCCAGCCGCGCGGGTAACCGCCACGCTCCCTCCGCTTCCAACTGCTCCGTCCGCTCCGCGCAACCCGCTCCCCGCTCTACTCTCGCCGCGCTAATCCTTTTCACCCCCAAATCTGCGCTCACCGCCCCGCAGTCCCGCCCGTCGTCACCCGCCTTCTCCGCGGCCTCGGCGTCGTCCATGCGCGCGTGCGGCACGGCGGCGGAGTCCTCCGCAAGACACGGGGCGGCGGGCAGCAGGCGGTAGCCGTCAGTCGGGGCGGGCCTAGCGGCAGATGCGGCGGGTCTAGCGCGCGGCGCAGCACAGACGGCGAGGGCGGGAATCCGTCGGTAGGCGGGTTGCGACGAAGGATGGGGAGTAATTTGCGGAAGCTCTTTCCGCGGCGAAGGCGGAAGCCACTTCACCAATGGAACACTCGCGGAAAGCTGCGGTGAACGCGCGGAAACTTGCGCGGGCGATGCCTGGGGGCATGACGGCAACGAAGCGGGGGGCGGGAGCCAGCCGCGGGTTCTACCGGAGCCTGAGTCATTCCGCCCGCGGGTATTGCTCATCGGACCGCTTTCACTTCGACTGTGCTCCAATCGAGGGCTCCGCGAGTGTGACGGCGGGTCTAATACCTCCCACGGCGGCGCTGTCACCATCGTATTGTGGACGTTGACGAATTGGAGAGGAATGGTGTACGGGTTCCGTGGAATAGACCGAATGGGACAGGAAAAAGGAAGGCCGGAAAGAAGAATAGGAGGGGGTGGGTTGGGAGTGGATGAGAGGAGGGAAAAAAAAGGGGGAACAGTGGGGACAATAGTGATGAGTGAATACGAAGAGGTGGGGCGTGCGGACTCAGGATCAATGAGTGACTGAGCAATAGTATGAGTACCTAAGTACCTGAACGAGGAGAGCTGGTAGGCAGCGACTGCCATGCATCCCCGCATTCGCTCCGCGAGTGCAGCCAAGGGTTGGACTGCGACGGTCCCGCAACCATTCTGATGGGGAAACTAAAAAGATGGCCCGATGCTACTGTGTCGAAAGGAGCTGCTATCTAGTCGTGCCGTCATGGACATTCGAATCTGCAGTGGTCACCTACTAGTGAGTTTCTGGTTTCGCTTATGCAAACACGCATGCGTCCTCAGATGAGGTTCCTTATAGGATTTGCATTATTAGGCAGCTGCACTTATGCGCCACAAGAACATGTCTTCTCGATCGCCGTGTGATCGTTCAAGAACATGTCGGTGGTGCCATCTTATTGCTGTCGCTGAAATATCAAAAGGTTGGATTGGAGAAGTTGATAACCTAGGGTGGTGTCAGCAATTTTGCTGAGAGCATCCTACGTCAAGTGGGAAAGCACAGCAGCAACTCCCCGCAAACCCAAACCAAGCCCATTGAATTCCGACCGACTGAACTGTAGTAACGTACAGTAGGATACTGTACACAGTTTTTCGAGAATGCCAACAATCCCATGCGCAGGGCACCCCGCCACCGGCACATGAACATAAACTAGCCAACGATTGGGGGATTGTTGTTGCTTGTTCACAAAGCAACGGTATTGTCTGGTGCTTTACGGTGCAAGCGAGCAGCTGAACATTCCAAGTACTGAACCGTACAGTACCGATCAGGCGGGCAAACGCGGAAGACAATTCCCGAGGTGTGGGATGTGATGTGAGACTTGACTTCACAGCCCACTGCAAATACGCGAAAATATTCCGAACCGTGTTCAACCCGATGGTACCTTCAAACATCCGACATCCTCCCGTGTTCCCCATCCACCAAATCTGCACATTCACAGAATGGCGAATCACATTACTGTCGCCACAATTTTCGCAACCAACGTCGCCTCTCAACGGGACCTCGGGAACTACAAGGTTTGGCGAGACCCAGTTTCCAACAACTGACGAACGGCCGACAGCACAAGTTACCTGTGAGCTCGCCACTTCGCTAAGCCATGACCCCAGCTTCTCTTTCTGGCAGATGATGATTTTACACCTCCTCCGTCGCTCCTCTCTACCGCCGCTCGTGTCAGACCCAAACAGATCTTCAGTTCCCTCCCATCTCTTCTGCCAGCCGCATACGAACCATTATAGCGGCTCAATTTTGCGGCACGCTTCGGGAAACAGATCGCGGCGGTTGAATGAGCCGAAGTACTATAGTACACGTCACTAGATTTCTGAATCTTGTGTTTCCATCCAACCGTGTTTTCTCCGGGCCGTTGAAACAGCATACGTGTCCCAAATTGAGGACATAGAATTTTGTTGCACATTAGGCGGTCCAATCAGACGCTAGAATGCATTTGGCGGTCCAATTAGACGCTAGGGTACATTTGGCGGTCCAATCAGAGCTGGGTTCATCTTCTTGTCGGCGATTTTTTCTGATCCATCCACCATTCGCCACGGTGGCGGGACCACTAAAGAAGCCAGCAAGGCAGATTTCTAACCGAGTAGCTCATTCCAACGGTCCGTAGTCAGACATTCCACGCATCTTCAGGCTCACGTCATATTCCGACTCTTCTTCTTGGATTTTCAGTTTATTTCTGCAACCTTCTAGGCATTTTGCTAGTGAGCTTGGCTTCCGATCGCTTTACCAGTTCGAATCATCACCATCTTCTCACGTCGGCACCATTCAGACTGCCTCGGATCGTATGGTCGGCTCGCGGACCGTCGGAGTTTCTGCAACGTAGCGAGTCAACTTTGCTTGTCGTCGTTTTTCCGTCAGGTACAATGACCATCCTCATCACGTTCTTGTATCAGCGACCTGATTCCGTTAATGTACGCGACCTTCAGTTTATTTCGACTCCGATTTTGACAATGGTGCTCGTTGTTCTATCATGCGCAGGACGCCATGGTAAGCATAGGATCGTCGTGGATCCGCATCTCTTCATCAAACTCTTCGCGACGTTGGCTACGGCGCGCCTAAAGCGACATCGATCTCCCAGACTTGTGACGGTGAAGGTCGAATGTATCACCTTTCACCACCACTCACCACAGAGCCTCCTCCCCCCGGTTAAGGTTTGGTAAAGGTTCGGTACAGGTGTGGTAAAGGTTTTTTTTTTTTTTTTTTTTTGGTACAGGCTGGTATTGGCTCTGTGGTGGGTCAGCACATGTTTCTTCACTTCGCAAAGTCGTTATTTCAGTTGCATGCTTCCTTCACTTCCGTATAATAACTACCTGTTTTTTTCTACACTCGCAGGTTTTAATGGAGGTTGCGAGGTGTACTTTCGAAGATTAACGAGGAGCAACATCCTTTGCCGTCCGTCCATGCTTCATGGCGGACAACGGAGGAGAAGCTCCACGGTTGGTGAAGGTGAAGGTTAAGAGTATCATTCTCACCCTTCACACTCCTGAGCCACCCCCCGGTTAAGGTTAGGTACAGGTTCAGGTCTGGTAAAGGTCCCCCTAAATGTATTTTGGTTGGTATTTGGCTCTTTTTTCCACGCTTCTTTTCGTTTTGCATCATTTGCTGTCCGACCTTCACTAATTTTCGTTTATTTCTTTATTTGCAGGTTTTATCTGAGAGTCTACTGCGTTATTCGGGGGAGTAACGTCTTTTGGCGTCCTGCCATGCTTCATGGTGGACAACAGTGGAGCATCTCCACGACTGGTGAAGGTTGAACGTATCAACCACACGTTCTTCACGCCACAGAGCCCCCACCCCTTGGTTCAGGTTCAGGTTTGGTTAAGGTTGAGGTTGGTAAAGGTGTTGGTAAAGGTCCCCCTAAGGTTTTTTGGTTGGTATAGGTAGGCTCTGTGGCACTGCACCATAGCAGCACAGTCCGTTTCTGCATGCTTGGTTTACTGCTCATTACTAACCTATCTCCATTGATGTCCTTGCAGGTTCTATTTAAAGCCACGCTCCTGGTGGTGTCAGAGCAACGCACTGCTAATCTCCAAGGCGGGGTGAATGTACCTGCCAACAGCACCTGGCAGGTGCCTCCTCTTTCTCCACCAGCAGTAGTTTCTTTTTCACCCCTCTTCGTTTGAGTCACTTGCTGCATGTTGTCTGTTTTCCTTCATTGACTTGGTTTACTAACTTCATTTTCTTGGCTTACTTGGCAGGTTTGCTGCACAAAGGGACTTCAGCAAGCCCAAGAATCAGGATCCATGGGAGGACCATGGCCTGCTGAGGCACTTAAGGCTCAAGCTTGGCAAGAAGATAATTTTCCAACTTCAGCCTTTTCCCTTGCATTCTCCTTGAATGCTACTCCACTGGTATCTCCATGCTTGCTGATTTTTTTTGTTCTTTTTTTTTTCAACTTGTGCTTCAAATCTCCAGTCACTGACTTATTTCATTTCGCCTCATGTCAGGTTCTCCAAGCGCCATCTATACGCCATGGACCCCCAAGACCTTGTACACCGCTGTACACTCCAGCAAGCCCAAGATCCATGGGAGCACCATGGCCTGCTGAAGCGCCTCAACGCTCAAGCACCGCTTCACCCTCCAAGCTCCTCAACCTCAGATATGTTTCAGCCCCTACCTTCGAGCTCCTTTTCTTATGCACATGGCTTTAGTGTGTTTGTTGATTTTCTTTGATCCATGCTGTTTTTTTGCCTTATCTTTTTTACCATGGACTAAACTTTGTCTTTCTTCTGCCTGCAGGTGCCTTCATGGGCGGCAAGTCTCAGTGGGTGGCAAGCCATGTCCTGCTGAAGCGTCTCAACGGTCAAGCACTGCTCCACACTCGAAGCTCCTAACCCACAGATAAGTTTCAGCCCCTACCTTCGAGCTCCTTTTCTCATGCACATGGCTTGATTGTGTTTGTTAATTCGCTTTGATGCATGCTGTTTTTCTGCCTTGTTGGCCACGTACTAATATTTTTCTTTCTTCTGCCTGCAGGTGCCTTCATGGGCAGCAAGTCATGTGGCCAGTGCACGAGAGGGGGTGAAGCTTTGAGCATTGGCTGGGGACTCGATTCCGGGCCAAACCGGACTGGTTCTGTTCCCTCCCGCCCCCACCAAGTGATAAAACTGTCTGGCCAGCAGTGATGTCATTTGGTGGAGGTGGTTGTGTGCAGAGCCAGTCCCTAGTAGGGCACCCGCACGTCTTGGTCCTGGCAATGCTCAAGGCTTAGCTTTCCTCTCTGCCTGTGCAGTGCACTGCCAGTCCATGCCGGGGTGGGCATTGATGGCATGCTGCCATGGAGTAGCTGTGGACCTGTTGTTGATAAGATTAGACAGAATTACATTAGTTGAGTGTACCTTTGAGTACTATTTCATTTTTATAAGAATGTACTCTAGTGTAGTTATACTAGTTCTCTGGATAGGGCGTAGCGTAGAATTTCAATCTGAGAAATGTCTGTTCAAGTAAATCTAAAACAACGTAAGTTTACAAACAGGCTGTAAGGAATTTTCTCAGGCATTCCTTACGGAGCCGACTACATCGCGTACAGCAACAGCCGACTGTTCGCCCGTTACTGCTAACGGAACTTCGCCGACTTCGCGCGCACTGTTTTGCCAAACCTCGCACTGCTGGCATGGCCGTATCGGCCTACGCTTCGGGACTAGCCCGAGCCTCGCTCCAGCGTAGCACTAGCAAGTTCGCACGCACCGCGTTACCGTTTTGCATG